CAGTGATAATATGCAATGTGAAATATTGTGTTTACATTTTTCTCAACTAGTATACGAAGGTGTGATAACAAATGTTAGTGACTGATCAACACAGACTTATTATCTACTGCGATAACACAGCCCATGACAGCAACAATCAATGCTGTTATTTTATCTTTGAATGTGAACAACCATTTTTTTCCAACCAGTCACTGGTACAATGACATTATCTCAATCTGACATTGGTTTCCCAGAATGCACCACTCACCAATGCGACTAAACCGAGTGGACCAATCCAAATGATGAGCAAAAACCCTGCAACCATTATAATACTCCAAATACCGCGGATAATCCAATTTCTCCATCTGGAAACATAATTAAAACTTCACAGTTAGTATATGTAATTGCCTTAATCTTTTCACCAAAGTTTTCTGCACTTTTTTCTAATGTTCTTCAATATTTCTGGAAATGAACCCTAACTATGGAACCAAGAAACAAAATTTAAGTAAATTTTCAGTTTTCACTAAAAACAATTTTGCTATTTTGCCTTCAAAAACAGGACTTCAAATTGGTTGAAAATTTAGAACATGGTAACATACTGATTTCAAACCATACATATAAAATGGTTGCCATAACAACAGAATGGAATATATTCATTGTAACATTTTTTCTAACAAATTCTCAATTCTTTATATTATATATTTTATATAACTTATTGATGACAGTGTTTTATATATACATTGTTGACTGCAGAAAGAAGAAAACAAGTGTCACTTTATTTACAACATGTGAAATAAAAAAATTGATTCATTTTACCTTTTTGACAATATTTATATTTTTAATATCTTGGCAATATTATAATTTCCATAATTGTTATTATATACAAGAAAACATGTACCGGGGTATGTACACCAAAACAATTGAACTAATTTGCATCAATATTTCTCAAGTTATAAATCATTTTCTTAATTGTGATGTCACATTTTTAAATGTTGAATATATATAAGAAAAGTGATATAGAAAAATTGTAAATTACATTCCCTGATATTTACAAAGCTCTTTCATCTGGGAGTATCATGCTGTTAGCATAGACTGCTCATTTTGAGGTAAACAAAGCAGACCTCTACTTCTAGTCAATTACTACATTGTAGGTTATACAATGAATTACAACAACATGTTTTTAGTGAGAAAATCATCATTATTATAAATATAGTACAAATTAAATCCAGTTGACATGTTACTGTATGAACACGTCATGTACATGTATGTTCCAAAATGTATGAGAGCTGTTATGAAAACTTCAATGAATTTCAAATGTCCATACAATGTGGACATACATAAAATGTATGCAGTAAGAAATTCTAAATAGGAAATATGAAACACTGCATGTATTTTTTTATGTTTTTTTATTAGTAAATACATTGAACAGACCATTTTCACACGTACATGTATGCATGAAATTGAATGTGAAAATTGAACAAACAAAGGTCATAGCATTGTAGTGTTGTGAAAACTTGGGTGGGATTTGATAAACATGGGTTTTTCTCTCTAAAAAGAATTGGTATTTCAGCATTGAACTATTAAATAAGGGAATTCAAGTTCAAAATCCAAACATTTAATTCATGCAGCAGACATAGAAGTTCATCTATTGAATATTATACAAACCTTGGTGGCAGACCTTTCAGTACTTCAGGTACTGTGTCTTGTTGCGGAGGTATCAGTGGCTTCTTGTCATCTAAATTAGGTAAAATATCATCAACTTGGGGAGGTATGTGAGATGAAGCAGCTGTAGTCTGGAAAAAATTTAATAGCAGAAATATTAGTACCTTGTCGGTGGTATATTCATTACATGTATAGATGTTAAAAAATGGTACTGTAACAGTGACATGTCTTTTTTCCAATCATTTTTTTTTTGTCAAATAATTTTCATTTTTACAAGAAAAAAAAATTCCATACACATTTAAAATTAATAATTGTACTACATGTAAATAGTAAAAAGTATTGTTAAACATTGACACACTTGATAGTATATTGAACTTGAATTATTATCATATAAATATATTGGCCTTGAACCTGAAATTATTATCATATAGTATATTGGCCCAGAACTGGACTGTTTACAGTGTAATAACCCTGAATCTGAATTTGCCAGGTTACAGTAGATTGTCCCTGAATCTGAATTTGATGTTTTATTAGTAAACCTAAATTTAGAAAAATTACTGTTGTTTAATAATTGCTGCTGAATACTTAATAATATTAATTTGTATTATTTAGACATCGTCAAAATCAGACAAATCCCTGTTCAAGAAGATAATTTTTTCTTTTGGAATTGGTGCCCTCTCGTCGCCCACCTGGCTAGACCCTCTTTGAGACCTGGCTACACAGTAAAAATGTCAGTTAAACTTTTACCATTGTTGAACAATCACTGTATAAACAGGCAGCCTCTCGGCTGAGATAGCTCCGTTGTTAGCAATGCACATTTCAATTAAAGAACAGAAAGTATCATTAAAAAATGAAATATATGAATGAAAAATATGTATAGTATCAAAACAATCAGACTTGCGGTTTTCAATAAGATGTGGAAAATATCACTTTTTACCAAAAATATTCATCAAAATTAGAGAATTGAAGATATCATCATGAAATGAACAAATCTCAGAGAGGTCTACCAAAGGTACATGTACACAAAGTATCAAAGCATTCAGGCTTGTAGTTTTCAAGAAGAAGTCGAAAAAGTAAAACATTGACACGGACGACGACGACGGACAATCACTCATATGATAAGCTCCGCTCGACAAAGTCGACAGCGGAGCT